GTTCACCCAGTGTTGTTGCCTTGAGGAAAGGCTTGGGTGGGGAATTCTGGCAAATTGTCACCAAAAACCCTCCAGAGCACAGCTCTACTCAGCCACAAGTGGAGTTGCCAGACTCCACTTGGCACAACTTTTTCCCTTTTTCTTTTTCTGATCGTACCTCTTGGGCTTGGGATTGGACTAGTAATGGGTAAACGCACATGGATAATTTTAAGAGAAATGTGTATGTGCATTTATTTATAAAAATACTGAAGATGATTTATTGAAATTAAGTTACTTATGACACCCTCCCACTTTTGTTTCTCCTTGGACAGTGCAAAGAACATGATTTGGCCATGATTAACCAGTTGCTGGATGATCCAAAGTTGACAGCCAGGAAATACAGAGAATGGAAGGTCATGAACACCCTGTTGATTCAAGACATCTATCAGCAGCAGCGGGCCATGCCTGTCCCCGAGGACAACCCCCAGGAACTCGAGAAACAGCCCTCCTCAGCCTGCATCGAAAGTTCGATTTGAGAACAAGCCCAGATACTCTCTCCTTTTATCCTATGAAACTCGCCAAGATGTTGAAAGATTTTACTTTTTTTTTTTCCTTCAAAAGAAGGCTGACATCCTCTAAAGATGGGACTTGGGGGGCAGGTCTTCACCAAGTGGATCAGGTCTCCTAGTTCTGATAGCAAGAACTCCACGGAATGGGGCATCATTTGGAATTATTGAACTCAGTCGAACACAATAATTTGTATGTTCCTCCTGTGACCTTCAGGTTATGCCAGACTCCTGGTGGGATGTGAGAAATGTATCTGTTCCCTTTTCCCAAGATTATGCCAACTTTCTATAGACAAAAGATCAAATTGGACCAGGGTTAATTATTCATAGAACTCTTCTATGTTCCAAAAGAAGATCGTACATAGTTCCACTTGACTGTGTACTTGAGTTTTCTTTCTTTTAATTTTTTTCAAGTGGAAGAACGTTTTCTGCAGCACTCCACTTGAGCAAGACAGATACAGTCTTCAGGAACAAATCCTCGGCTTTGTTGGTGATAGAAAAATGGTGCCATTTCTACGCACTGGCAAACATGTCACAGAGAGAAGGTGCCAGACAGTCACCGTGGGAGGCACGTTCCAGTCTCCACTCCCTCAGAGGACCACTTGGTATTTTCACACTTGACCCAGGTGGGAGGAATCCCATAAGTGTTTGCTTGCCACCAAACAGTGAGAGAAAAGCATCATTACACTTGGGAACCTCTTCCCCTCCTAGCTGGTCTAGGCAACATGGGAGACAGGGACGGGTGCAGCAGGAAGTGGTGCAGCGCGGGTCCTGGGCTGTGGTTCCACAGAATCCACTTTGAAAAGAAGATTCTGGCATCGGAGTCGGTTTAGTACCTGTACTCCGAGCACAAACCAATGGGGGCGTTAAAACACGATGGTTTTATTTTTGTATAGCTTTCGTGTCACGGTGCGTCCTATGTGAATAGATAAACTTTCTATGTTTGTTATTTAAGTATATTTATAGAAGTTCAGATTACTAGTGTTTTCAAAGATGATATGCTACTGTATGTTTTAGTCAGTATAAATCCTTGAAGTATATACTTTTTTTGCTTGAGAAACATAGGGATATAATTGATTTATTGGTATTATTATATTGCACTATAAGGTAGAAGAATGCTCAGGGGATCTTAAGGGATCATCAATAGAGGGTCATGCATGCCTAATCTTTGATTTTCCCGACCCCTTCTCTCTCAATCTAAGGCTCTTAAATTTCTTTCGTTCCTTTTACATCACCCTCCTTACTGGGAAAACGCTTTCCTTTTAGGGTTACCTCTTCCATTAAGTTAATTTTATTTTTGAAGCATTATGCCCTTCACACTCACAAACTTGAAACCAAATGAGATATAATTCATGTAGATTTTTTTACCAAGACCACTGGAGATTTGGAGAGCCCATTGTTAAAGAAGAACTCATTTTGCTTGAGAGGGAAAAAAATGACTGTCTTCACTTCCTAATTATGAACATTTCTCACCATGAGACTAACCACAACCCACTGAACACCCACTTTGGCCCTGCCCCTAGCAAACTGTCATTCTGTTTGTAGTCAACATGTGGCTTGACATTCAAATGGAAAGAACCACCCCAATTTGATCTGCAAGGCAGATGGAAATGTCTCTTGACTATTTCCCCACGTCTTACTGAGAAGTTGTGAGGCTCTGTCAACAAGGAAGAGAACCTCACATTAAGAAAGAAACCAAACAGGAAGTGAGTTGTAGTGCAAGAAGCCTGTCAGATAGGAGCCCTTGCCTGTGGCCTTGGGCCCAGCACACATGCAGGCCCTCATGTTTAGGGAAGGTGCTGGGCGAGGCCACAGGCCATACGGCCACCTGACTCTGACCTGCAGTGAGCGTAGAGTTGACCCAGGCAGAAGGCACCATCTCTGATTGGGCTACCGTGGTTCTGGTTTGAGAGGCCAAGGGTTTAATCTTCTGATGCTGGTCCTTAGCATCGTGATCCGTAGAGATAAGAAGCTTGATGGGTAAGGATGTTCCACTGCAGACAGAGGGTTGAGGCAAGGAGAAATCAGACTGGAGGAAATGATTGGATGGCCTAGGTGTTCTAGCAGAACTTTTTCCTCTTGGACACCTTCTCTCCCCCTTCTCCCCTCCCCCCCCCCAGGGAGCTCACCACTGTGGAGTTGACTCCAACCCATAGCTACCCAGTAGGACAGAGTAGAAGGACCCCATAGAGTTTTAGGAGGCTGTAGTCTGCATAGAAGCAGATGGCCACATCCCACCCGAGCCCAGCCCTGGCCCCCAGCAGAGGGGTTGGTGGGCTCCAACTGGTGGCCTTTGGGTACTCTCCTAAGTCGAGGTCTTCTCAAAGCTTGGCGCAAAGGCTTGGGAAAATATGTAAATGATATCCTGTGATGGATAAACAACAAGCGTTTGACTCACCTTGGAGGCCAAAGTCTCGTACCGCTCAACTAGCAAGGGAAGTAGGTCCACGCGATGACGTTACAGATCCTCGCACACTGTGAGTTTTGAGAGTCATTTTCAGAAAGCATTCCAGAGGGGTTGGATTTGTTGGTTAGGACCGTTGCTTGGGAGAACCTTCCCCAAACGACTACCACGGAACTGCTTGGTCCAGGTTCCCTGGTGCTTTCCCGTGGGTCAATGCGCTGGCTCTGAATGATGTCTTGTTAAGCAGTAGCCCCGGACCTCAGTGGTGGCTACTAAGGGATGGGATGGGAGAGAAAGGGAGTGAGGACCCCTGAGGAACTCAGGCCCAGGTAGTATCCTTGGCCTGAAGACATTTTTCTTGTCTAAAGTCTATTGAGGAAGACTGGAATACTCGCAGATTATTCCTAGTGATTGGGCTATTGCTGAAGTGGATTTGGGTTGGTTTCATGCAGTCTGGGGAGAGACCCTTATATGCGCTTTGATAGCCATAGGTTTGAGGACGGTGATGCGACTCAAAACCATGATCACTCAGGATGGAAAGAGAACCTCTGTCTAAACCTGGCTCATGTCTTGGGACTCAGAACCTAAAGATCTCATCGTTGCGCTTCTGGAGAGTACAGCTTCTTGCTGTCTGCCTGGGGCCCTCACTGTCGGACACGTTGCCCAGGCATGCTGAGTTGGACGGTTCCACATTTGAAGGGACTCAGATGTTAAGAATTCTCTTCTCTGCTACCACAGCTCAAATCTAAGAAGACTCAATTAGCCGGAATTACCAAGACTCCAGGAAGCCTCGCCAAGAAGGTGGGCGTGGAGCCAGACTTCAATGTGAAACGGATGCCTTATGTTTACATAGCACTTTATAGTTGGCAAAGCAGCACTTTTCACTGCACCCCCCCCCCCTTGGCCCCCTTCCTCCAAAGTGGCCCTATATGGAGTGATGGTGTATTAGCATGGCCCCATTTTAGCCGAGCTCGGAGAAGGGAACCGCTCTGCTTGGTCCCCAGAGGAGTGCTGTAAGGCCAGAGTTAGAGCTGGAGGGTCCTGTCCCCAGGCTCTCCCATCACACCATGCAGTGGCTCTTAGAGAAGAGCCCACGGGGACCCAAGCAGATTGGGCCTGGCTTGCAGTCCATTGTGCTGGAAGTGGCACACACTGCAGAGTTGGCTTTTGGCTGATCTGAAACCAAACCCCAACTCAAACCATTGCCATGGATTAGACCTACCCACAGGGCTTTGCTTGTCGTCTTTAAGGAGGCAGATCAGAGGGTTGCCTCTCCGGGAGCCTCTGGGTGGGTTTGAACTAGCAAGCTGTGGAGTACACACAGCTGGCACTGCACCAGGACTGTCCCAGACCACAGTCTCTTCCTTCTCCCTCTGGAAGGCTGCTTTTCCTCCCCAGCGCTGGGGGATGTTTGGGGTTTCCTTTCTTTCCTGCCTTGAGTGAGCCTGCTTGGGTGCTATGAGCACTTTGGATGGAAGAAGGGCTCTCAAAGCAATGCCAGGGTCGGGATGGGGTGACACCTCCCCCCCAACTCCCCTCCTTCACCTTCCTCTCTCGATTTCTTCTCCTGTAATTGTGATATGTTCCTCCGGCTAGTCTTTCTGCATTGCCAATTATGTTCTAGGGAAGAAACGGGTAAAAAAGCAGATACTTTTTTTATTTTTAAGAGTCTTCTGGGAGAGG